CTGCTGCATGAACTGTGCAAGGAGGTGAACAGAATAGCATAACTCGGGACGAGTAATGGTCAAGTAGAGGAGACGACCAATGAGACGACGAAAACGTGCCGGATCCGTGAGGAATGGGGCCGTGGAGTCGGCCAAGTGGGTCCGCTGCTCCATAGGAAATGTGGCTGGTTTCGCTGCTGTGAGGCCACAATCGGATAAAATCTCTAGCGTGTATTTGCGTTGGGAAAGAAACAAGCCATCTGTTGTGCGGACGACCTCGAGGCCCAAAAAATATTTTAGTGAGCCCAAATCCTTTATCTTGAAGCAACTAGCAAGGTAGGATTTGAAGGTAGAGCAACGGGCTGGATTATTTCCGGCAATGATGAGATCATCCACATAAACAAGGACCACTAATATATCGGCACCCGAGTGGAAAGTGAACAATGAATAATCAGCCTGCGACTGTGTGAAGCCATAAGTGCGAAGAGCAGTGGCAAATTTAGCAACCCAATTTCGGGACGCCTGGCGCAAACCATAAAGAGACTTACGAAGTCGACATACCGAATTAGGAATCGGAGAGGTGTACCCAGGTGGAAGACGCATGTAGACCTCTTCCTCCAAATCACCGTGAAGGAAGGCGTTATTTACATCCATCTGATGTAGGTGCCAATCTCTGGCCAAGGCAATGGTGAGGAGGCAACGGACTGTGGTCATTTTGGCCACAGGAGCAAAAGTCTCATGGAAGTCGAGACCCTCAATTTGGGTAAAGCCCTTTGCTACCAATCGAGCCTTGAAGCGTTCAACGCTTCCATCAGAGTGTCGTTTGATCCGGTACACCCATTTGCAACCAATCGGTTTCTTATCAGGAGGTAGATGTTGGATTGTCCAAGTGCCATTGTCTTCAAGAGCACGAATTTCATCTGTCATGGCAGTACGCCAACGAGGGTCCTTGACTGCGACCGAGTATGACCGTGGTTCTACCTCAGAATCCAGTGCAGCTAAGAAGGCCAAGTGAGATGAAGAAAAACTGTTATAATTGACGAAACGCTCAATGGGATAGACCATACCTGAAGAAGTAGATGGAGTGGGCTTGCAGCAAGAGGGGGTCGGCACGACCGAGTAACAATGATAATCGTCCAATCGGGCAGGTGGGCAGCGCGTGCGTTCTGGTCGCCGGGAAGGAGCTGGTGCGGCGGCGATGGGTGCCGAAGCTGCAGCTGGCGAGTGTGGGGAGCCTGTCATCTCCGAGCTATCGTCCGAGTGGGAGGTGCCCTCATCTGGAGTGGCTGGATGGTGATCGGCGGGAGTAGAAGATGCGGTTCGAGTAACCGGCGGTGGCAACGGCGTCGGTGGGTCGGACGGGGTTGGCTCATCAGACAAAGGAGTCTGGTTAGGTGGATCGGTCAGAGGGATGAGTGTAGGTTGTGGCGTTTGAGACATGTACGGAAAATCATGTTCGTGAAAAATGGCATCTCGAGAAATGAAGACTTCATTTATGTCGAGATCATAAAACTTCCACCCTTTCGTGCCATAAGGATAGCCAAGGAAGACACAACGACGGGACCTAGATGCGAATTTGTCGAGTGGTTGAGGAAATGTTTTGGCGTAAGAAAGGCACCCAAAAACACGAAGATGATCATAAGAGACCGGTTTACCATGAAGTACCTCGAGAGGTGATTTTCCGGATAAGAGTGGTGTTGGGGTATGATTGATGACATGGGTTGCGGTGAGAACACATTCGCCCCAAAATTTTATCGGTAAATTGGCTTGAAAGCAAAGGGCACGAGCCACGTTGAGGATATGGCGGTGCTTACGCTCGACGCGCCCATTTTGTTGCGGACTATAAACACATGATTTTTGGTGAACAATGCCCTTTTGATGAAAAAGATTTTGCAAAGGTCCTGATAGAAATTCTTTACAATTTTCTGACCGAAAAAATTTGATGACGGTACCAAAATGCGTATGGACCAATGTGAAAAA